GGTTCCTGGGTTGAATGTCCGATCGTTCGAATCGAATGGTTCGATTGTTTCCGTTTTAATAAAAAAATTAAAAATGATTAAAATTATTTGAATGGTTAATCGCCTGAATCAGCAGTTTGCTAATTAAAATTAACGATTTTTGGAAAAAATTCCGATTTTGAAGTAAAACAGAACCGGTCACCTGACTGGTTCCCAGTTTTCTGGTCCGCTCCGGTTTTAAAAACTATAATTGAAACACAAGAAGCTTTGAAGCAAGCAGTAGTCCCCGTGAAAAGATACATGGTAAGTTGTATCTAAGGAACAAGATGTAGTCTCAGAAGAGGATGAGATGAAGGACCTCTATGATTTAGGAGGTTTACTGGGTAGTAGGAAACTGAGAAAGATGGTGGATGTTTTTTCTGGGTATAGTGATTCAAGTAGGACCCAAGGGTTCTAAAGGTTTTAGGGGTAGAGGTAGGGGCGTAGGGGAGGGAGAGGTAAAAATATAGCCTCTTGTTATTGCCCTTTTGGATTAGGTTTTTGGGGGTGTTGGCAAGAGTGCAGAGTGTTGTTGGTTCTTTTGGTGTTATTGGTTTCCGATCAGACAAGGAATGGTTTTGGGTAGGGGTGAGCAAATGGTAGGTTTTACTTGGAACCAAAAGAAAATCGACTTAGGCTTTGAACCAACCCTACCTAATCTATAATAGGGTAGGGTCTGGTTCCAAATTCTTGAAACCGATTCTCACCCAAGCCAGTTTTAGGGTCTAGGGGTTTATCCTACTCAAACTGATCTTAGTTGGCCTTCGTGGAATCAATGCTGGTGGAACTTACCTTTGAACTGAATTTGTCTTGAAATAAACCCCAAAATACTTTTAGGAACGTGAAGATTTGAACCCAAGCACTCATGGTTATAAAGGCCATGGTCTCACTTGACCATTGAGCTACTTAAATTATCTGATCATTTGTTTTCATTTTAATATTTGGATGTGTACAACAAGCCATGTAAAATGTAATATTTACAAAATTTAACTTTAAACTATAAGTTTTAAACTATATAATGATAATCTACATATTAAATTACTCAATTAATCAACAATGATAATATAAGTTTTTTACTATATATTATATTATTGAAAATCAAGTTTTTAAAATTCCCTTTGAAGAGGGAGAGTAAAGAAAAAACAGGTTCTATGGGTAGATCTTGAAATCAACCCCAAAACCATCAAGGCCAGAACCGACCTTAGAACCAATGACTATCACAGGGTTGGTTCTGGTTTGAAAAACTTGGAACCAGCCTGCCCTACAGTGTAGGTTTCAGCTTCTGCCGTGGAACCGAATCAAATTGACCCTTGCTCACCCCTAGTTTTGGAACTAGTTCTTGGGTCGAATGGTCCGACCCTCTGGTTTGAATGGGTGGCTTGTTCTGATTTAAAAAAAAAAAAAATTAAAATAATTGATTAAAATAAAAAATGACCAAAAGTCATTGTCTTGGTCGACCTATTGATGGTTTAACAGTTTTTGTCCAAAAAGTGATTTTAGAGTGAAACAAAACCAGTTGTTTGACCGATTCCCAAGTCAACAGGTCCGACCAACCGGTCTAATCCGATTTTCAAAACCATGTGACTTTTTAGTATGAGAGTCCCATTGTTGTAAATTTTGTCTCTCTCTTTTTTTTTTTCTTTTAATAAAGCTTTTGTTTACCTATAAAACGAAGATATGCCTATCTTCCATTAGGTTATCATTAGTTGGCCATGATGGTATGTTGTTCATGCACCATTAATATTTATTTAAAAATTAGCCTGACCGACAATATTAACTATTTTTTGTATGATAAAATACTGTAATTTCATTTTTCTTCCCTATTTTATGTTTTTTATTCAATTAACAACTCATCAAAGGTTCACTTCACCTTCTCATTTGAGATAAGTTGTAAGTTTTTGTGTTCACCTCTACATCAAGAAAATGATTATGGGTATCGTAATTTAAAGGGTAGAGATCAATAAAGTGATAAATAGAGCAGTACTTTGTATGTTGTAGCTAGGGACTCTTTTAACGGAGAGTATCTGATAGTGATAGTGCATTCATGTACGAAAAAAAAAGGTATGTAAATTCAAATTAAGAAAAATGGGAGTCAACGAATCAATTGAGGTCAAGCCAATAAATAATGATCATCACCTCTTTATTCTACTTGAAATTTCGTTTCATTTTAGAATTCTTTAAGAGCTTGTGCTCTCTTGTATTAGTTTCTTTAGATGGGTAAGGTCTATGTCTAGAATCTTAATTTTTATTTGAATAAAAAATTTTCTTTCCTTTAGAAAAAAGATTAAGAAAATCCTAGAAAAGTGAGTGGGAATTTCAGATAAGAACAACTTTTTTATTTTAGTGTAATTTCAACCCTTTTTATCACTTAGGCTGTGTTTAGTTTGAAGGAAAAAGTAAGGAAAGGTACAAGGTTTTTCTACGTTTCCCTTCCTTTTCCCACTTTTTCCTTCAAACCAAACATAGCCTTATTGTTTTGCTTTTACTTGGTCTTATTATTTTCACATTGAAATTCTAAGCCTTTTAGTGTAATTTCAACCCTTTTATCACTTATTGTTTTTAGGGTTTCACTTTGCTTGCTTTGATTTCTTATTTATTTATTTATTCATTTTCATTTTTAAAGAGGTAAAATACAATATTAAAAAGGGAAAATCTATGATACTGGGTCCAAAAGCACTAAATGATCCACTAAAGAAACACAACCAAATTGGGTCCAAAAGAGGAACCACAAAGCCCCTACACCCTTACTAAGCCCATATAGGATAAAGAATGAAAAAATGACCTAGAGTGAGTCATGGCAGAGGAATCATTGCCCGTGATCAACAAATCATCTACATAGACAGGACTGTAAACAATAGTACCACCTGATGAGTAAATAAAGAGAAATGTATCAGTTGGATAACCTTTGAAATCCATTTCAAATAGGGTTACAGTCAACCGTCGATACCAAACGGGAGGAGATTGATTGAGACCATACAATGACTTAGGGAGCATATAAACATGATCAGGGTGAGCAAAACCAACAAATGCTAGAGGTTAATGTATGGAAATTAAACCTCCTCTAAAGATTCCCATTAAGAAATGCATTAGAAATATTGATGAGAGAGAATGAAAAAGATTGTGGTTGGTTTAACCACAGGCTTAAACATCTGCTTGACTGTCTATCCCATCATGTTTTTGGTGAAATCCCTTCACCACTAGATGGGCATTGTAGCAATATTCAACAGAGCCATTAGGTTGTCACTTAGTTTTATATACCCACTTATAGCCAATAACCTTCTAATTTGGAGAGGGGGAACAAGAACCCATGTACCATTCCATAGAAGAGCATTGAACTCTTCTTGCATAGTCAGATGCCAATGAGAACATTTGATGGCCTGAGAGAAGTACCTTGGTTCAATGGAGTCACTTGTTAGTGCATACTTTGGAACTTGGAAGTAGTTAGATTTTAGTCTTCCGAGTTCCATTCATTGCACGAGTGATCATATGGTAACGGTAAGGAGGAGCTATGGCCATGGAGGGAATACTCAGTGTTAATTGTGTAGATGAAGGTGGAAGTTATTCTTATGCTTGCGTTAGAGAGCATGGTGAAGATGCATTAGCAGTGTCTAAGACATAATTGTCTGGGTCAGCGGCATTTTTAAAGTACCATGACCAATTTTTAAAGTCATAACTCAACCCTACAACTCCTTTGGATTTGGGTCAAAACCTTGTAACTTGCCAACCAGGCAACCTTGAATGACCTCCCTCTCATGAGTCCTATGTCCTTAAATGCAAGCATTAAGTGCATCATTAAAAATATAATAAGGCAAAATTACGTTTTCATTGTCTCTCATAAAATCCATATTTACTTTTTAATAAGACAATTCTTCTCTCTCTCACACAGACGCATAATAATCAATGTTTGTAACATCTCCCCTCCCCATTAAATCCATAGTCTCTTTTCACTCTATCTAATAAAGTAGGGGTGTTAATTAGATGGATTGGGTTAGGTTAAGGACCAACCAAAATATGAGCCCTAGATCTACATCATAAGTGCTCCTTTCTTCAGTTGTGCATAGCAGTATTTTCAAACCGGACCGGACCAGATGGTTGGACTGAAAAAGCTGCTGATTTGGTTAGCAAACTTTTCACCTGGTCGGTCAAATTGTCAAACCGTTGACCCGAACAATGGTTTTTGGCCTTTTTTGTTTTGTTTTTTTAAATTTTGTTAGGGTGGACCAACCATTCGGAGCACACGATCAGACCATTTAACCCAGAAACTGGACCCAGAACGGTTTTAAAAACCTGGGTGCATAGTAGATCAAAGTTTTATATATCTCAAAGCAGGCCCATTTAAATGACCAAAATGGCCCATTCAAAACGAAGGGATTTTCCCAAGATTTATAAATCGACCGTCAAGTTACAGAAAAAGAATTAAAGGTTGATCACCCAAGTCTTATACAACGCAAAGTGAATCAAGTCTAGATAAACTAAACCCTTTAAGTTTTTATTTTATGATAAAATTGAACTCCATGTGAGTTCTGTGGAGGACACTGGAAGAGAAAATCATTCTCCTGAATAAAATAAAAAACTTAATTGTGGTTTAGTTTAACCAAAGGAACCTGTTGCATGATTGCTTGGTTCTATATTTTTCCGGTTAACCTGGCAATTGGCTTCAAAACCGGTTGGTTTTCATAAACCAGATTGGTAGCCAGTTCTTGTCCAACCCAGTTCAGCCGGCTGTCCGAGTCCTGTTTCTGAGACATTGACTACATGGGTTAGGTCAAAATATCCAGTCTGCATGCTGTAATTTTAGGTTTCATCATCAACTCTGGAAGTTCATTCCAAGTGGTGTTGGATGTCTTATGCAATGGGAAGACACTTACTGTGTGAAACAAGGAGTTGGGGGTGTAATATAAGAGGGTAAAAGAGCTCGTCCTTTGATTCTCTCTCTCTCTCTCAACCAAGTCTAACACCTGCCATATAGATGATGGCATGAGAAATCCATAGGCCCATTTTGTAAAAAGTTCAACACAATTCCAAATTTGTATGTTCAAAATCATGAAAATTAAAGAAAAATAAAATAAAAATAATTACTTTATAACTATAGCCAGACATTCCTAATTTCTAAAATGAAACACCACTCTTAGAGTTCCATGTGTGGAGTGTAAATTATTGAACAACGCTTATAGAATTGTCCAATTGGATTGCAAATTCAACATGATGGACTACTCAACTCCTGTAGAATTGGAGTTCGTATCTTCTAAATGTAGTAGAGAGCATCAGCATATGTTTTATGGTCATAGCCCACATCCTGTAACAAGCATAATCATCATCCATGTCTAGCTTGATCACTCCCCTACTTGTTGTCAACACAATAAGGTATGATGAGTCGGTATCTTCGCCGGTCGGGTCCTTATAAAGCTCAGCATGCAAGTCAAGCACAACACCTGTAGCCAAATTAAAGATATTTATTTGGTTAGCTCCTCTGTGCAACACGACACGCTGAACTTATTTGGATGTTGCTAACACTTACTTTCTCTTGTTCTTGCAAAGGCTGTGACAACATTGGTCTTCCTAATTTTCAGAATAACCTGTCATAGAAATGTGAATATCACTGTCAAATTGGTTTCTGATCTTGTTTTTTGGATTTGTTTCTTGTTTGGGTACTAATTAGAAACTAGTTAGATCAAAGTTCAAATACAGATGTGCACTCTTTTATACTGAGAACTGAAATTTAGTCCTTTTAAAAATGGAGTGCACATGGACTGGTCCAGCAGGGTTCGCCACTCTTGGATCACTTTACCAAAACCGTGAAAGACACAGCTAACAATCTGCATATTTCCAAGTATTATTGTCTCCATCTTTTGAGGCCAAATGGAAAATTCCAGGAAGTATCAAGAGTTGTTGGCAAAATCCCTCCCACAGTTTGTTATTTGGTAGACCAAGGCTGTTTTTGGTTTGATAGAAAATGTAAGAAACAGAAAGTTGATTGAAAGTTCTTAAGGAATTTCATAAAACCTGTTAAGAACTTACTCTCTTTATGTTTCTCTCTCTTCTTTCTATCAAACCAAATATAGCCTAAATATTAAAATTCAAAGGCAAAGTTGGACCTAAATTGTCATGACTCATATTGRTCTGACCTTGATGTAGCCTGGAAACCACCACAGACATGGTTCTATTAATGGAGACTGGAGGAATCTGCAATTTTGGTGCATGGTATTGGTATAACCATCAAATTCTGGATAAGAAAGCTGGTAAGTCTGGCAGTTTAGGTTTAGAAATGTAGGATTTGTGAATTATGTTATTGTGAGGCAAACAGAAGTACGAATTAAAGATATAACCTTTGTTTCATTGTTGAGGATGATTGAGACAGATCTTGACAAACACTTCCCTAACACAAACCAAAGATGAGACAGGAAGACAAAAATCCGGTCAAAACCACTTAATCAAGAGTAGTATATCTCCATCTAGAAGAAATATGAACATTTACCTTTTGAAAGCTACAGTATCTAGCCATTAGTTGAATTGACTTACCGTCGGATGATTCGATGTTAAGCTCTAATCCCTTGGCAAGCAGACATCTACACTTTTCAAAGTCAAAGTCAATATTACTGTTCTCTTCAATAGGGAGTATGGGTGATCTCCCATTTATTCTGTCCCTGAGACCCGACCTTCCCCTTAGTGTAGCAGCTCCTCTCAGTGCTTGAATATACAGAGAAGGAGTAATTAATTAGACGGCATGCAAGTCAGGTGGTCTGGGCCGGATCCAGAACTAATCCTAAGAATTAGGCTAAGGCCCAAATATGGATCAAGTACAATTTGTCCAACCCAGGTCCATCATAAAATAAAATTTGATGCATTTAAGTTGGGGTTGGACTCGGACCAGGCTCAAATTGGTCAATCAGCCCATATGCTAAATTTGACATACATACATAAGGGTTAGGCATAGGTATAACCCGAAAAATAATAAAAGCCAAAATTTTTGGGCCCAGGCCTAGCCTGAAGACGTGAAATCTAAACGCATCGTTTGTAAAATTACAAATTAGGATGGCTCGGTTTTGGGTTGGACCCACTTAAGTTTCACCCTTTGGTGGCAAGGATGGTGAGCAAATTGCATAGGTGTAGGGATCACCTGCGAACAAATGACGTTCAACACTCTCCCAACATGATATCACACCGCACATCTCACCATGGGACTGGGACTGGGACCCACCATAAAACGAAGACTCCGGATCTCCTACTCACTAGAACTTTACCCACACCTACCCACAAAACACTACCCCGTGCATTAGAAACATCTCCCCATGTATAATAACATGTAAGAGCATGAGATGCTCCTCATGTGTCCCTGCAATCTCAAGTGGGTAGGAAATCGAGATTCAAAGATGTGTGGTGCGTATCGATCATGTTGGGCGGGTGTTGAAACGTCTTCTGTAAGCAGGTGATCAGGATTCAATTACATGAGGCGAATACCTTTACTGGACCTTGGGCTTGGGGCGAATACAAATTGTGTGGGCCTGATATGAATGGTTAGCCCTAATGGGCCTTTACCGGACCTTGGATGGTAGGCAATGGCACCCCTAGCTAAACATTATGTTCCATTCATGCAAATTTCTTATAGAGAGAGGCCAATACATGTTGCAGCTGCAGCTGTAAGTGTCAAGATATCATTGGCACTGGTACTGGTCATAGCAGAACCCATGACAACGCTGAGCTGTTCCCTCTTGGCACCCATGGCTTCTGCGACTTGTGCGCACTGAGCTGCCACCAAAGCAGCTGCAGAAGCCATAGCTGCTTCTTTTGTTGTGCTGGGCTGGTTCTGTTTATTGTTCTCTGCAGCAATGGCTGCCAGTGCAGCTGCCACACCGGCAACTGATATCGCTGCATGCACTTCAGCTCTCTGCAATCTATCTTCCTCCTTTCTCTTCAACCTTATCTCTTTCAACCACTTCTTCACTGAAATGTTCTTAAATGGCATAAACTTCCAATAGTCCTGCACAAAATTGATTTATTATTTCTAGTCAGTTCTCTGTATAACTCTAGCTCTTGAAAATAAAGGAGCTTCTCTTGATCTATTCAATGTTATAACTAGGACGTATTCTGGGTCGACCCATTAACCCGTTTATTTCAAATTAGGAAAAGTGGGTCCTTTAGTCCATCACATATTTGACTGCTGCAACTGCAATCTCGTCTAGATCCTTTTACCCTTGTTGGCAATGTGAACCCAGTATTTCTGGCAAATCATATCCCATATCCCATTAGTTTCGGGTCGGGTTAAAATCAAACAAGTTGCAGATCATGACCAGTGGCCAAGGATCCTACAAATCCAGCGCAAAGGCCCAAAACAAACTTGGTCAGGTGGGCCCACTAGACCCAATATGGGTGGGCTGTTGTTGAACTGAATTTTCAACTTTTAGATTATAATAATCCTACCTCCACATTGACTCTGGGAGACCTAGTAGACACAGGACACCAGCTGCAACTTCCTTTGTATTGGTGCAGTGGTGCTCCCAAAACTGGAAACATATTCTGCGAATGTTTGGGGAAGGATGGAGGGTCTCCCTGAGCTTGAAGACTGAAGAAGCCGTGGTCGTTGTCAGGCTCTTTGGACCAAAGCCACCAAAGCCCAAAGCCACATTCCTAAATAATATGTTACGCTGACTATTCTGTCAGCAACTGATCAGAATCTAGTTCACATAAGAAGTGGGGTTGGCCTTGGCTCAGGCTAATTCAGGGCCAGGCAGATGGTACCTATCCGACTAAAGATGGACTTCGCCCAGTTGAACGCATGCGGACACAGACACTATCTAGGACTCTATCTAGACATCTGAAAAGATTTAATTAGAATGGTGGAGAGAAATTCGAGGCTAAATCTAAGTTCTATCAAGCTCTATCTGATCATAGTCTACACAACGACGTGTTCATAATTTGGCTATTCGAAAGTGTTTCTGACCTCTGAGTGAATTAAGTTTGTCCTAAATCATCTTGTGGGACTGAAACCCAGCCGAACCAGATTTCATATTGATTTGATTCCCGAAAAGTGGCCCGTTTCATTTAAGTTTCCTAAAGCTAAATTAAGTTGAGGATTGGGTATGTTGATAATTCAAAACTAGTCGGTGGAGTCAAGAGGGGAAGATATCAGGACTCGGCAGGTGTTGTATTGTTTAATAAGATCAACAAACACCACACAGGAAACTAGAGCAGAAACATGAGCTTACCCATCTCTTTCGGAAACATCGATCATAGTTTAGTTCTGGATGCATCGCTTGTTGAAGCCAGATCCATGACTGGGTTTTTGAAACAAATTAAAAGACAAACACATAGATCAGAACTGGTAAAACATCAATATATACCAAGAAAAAGAGAAACAAATAGAAAGTTAAGTGCAGTTTCTCTGCAAAAACTACTATCAGGTGATCTTGGGTGTTATACTGTTACCTTTACATCGTTTGATTTCCATGGCGGTACAGACTTGAGGTATCCTTCATCCATTTTTAAGCTCTTGTCCATGTTCTGCAAGCATGCACATGGTTAAATGCTTTTCTTCTTTTCTGCAAACTACTATCGATCGAAAATATATTAAGGTTTATACTCACCAACGATGGAGATTTAATATCATTCTCCAAGGCCTTAACCAGACTATCTTGATGAACAATTGATTGATCTTGTTCCACTGGTTGGAAGACTTGAAGTGCAGAGTTGCACCAATTTCGTGAAAGAAAATCCATAGGCTCATGGGGCACCTGAGGATCAACTGCTAGAGCAAAGTTGGAATCCATGCTGTTCTGAGAACGAAAACTAGTTTGGAGATGAACTCATAATAAAGGAAAACTGCTCACTTGTCGAGATATATATATAAACGGCTCCAATTACAGTAAATTATTGTCAAATTTTTGTGTTGGAGTTGTGTTCTTAACAGGATCATAGTTCAAAAGTATATCATCAAATATTCAATAAGTGATTAGCATCTTGGCCAAGTACTTTAATCCAGATGGAGGGGTAAGGTGGGTCCACCAGATCAACCAAGAGGATTAATTTCTGCCGTTGATGACAAGTGATCGACTACATTCAACGATGAGGGAGGACCCTGTTTACATGTATTATCACCTGGTATACAACAAAGCAGCAAGGAGGGCTTAGAGGCATCCTGTCATCTTACTCAAGTATTTCTGAAAAGAGAAAGTACATCCATGATCGCAGTTGGCAAGAATACTCTACACCAGCTTTGCAGATAAAATAATTAAATGAAGAAGGTTGAAAACAAGGGACCCAGTTGGCATAATAAGAGCATATAGAGGGAATAGGATTTGATTGAAAGGAGACTCAAAAAACAATGAGGATGAACACATGCCTACCATGATAGAAGCAAGATATATTTTGTTGGTGGAGAAATAAAGAGGAACACAAGGATCCTTCCTTGTAACCCTCAAGCCAAAAATTGAGACAACTAACAGAAAGAGGCATAAAAGGCAAGGAGAGAGAGAAAAAGTTAAGGGGTGTCAAGCATTATACACCAAACGTGCAGTTGGGCCACAATGGAGAAAAGAAGAAGACATGTATCATTGAGACCAAGCTTTCCTTCTTTACAATAAGGCGTGCATAATTAACTATTGACTAAGGAAACTCACTGCGGATTACCTTTTCCATATAATATCAAAGATGAAAGTTGGCTGAGAAGCTTTTAATGGGTTTTTCTCTCCTTTTGTGGTTGATATGAGGTCATCTCTCTCTCTCTCTCTTGATGGATTTGCTTACTTTATGGAGATTCGTTTACTTGTTCATTAAGCTCATGTTATTAGAGGGATTATCCTTTGCTTAGGTGTCCATTCATGCATTTGCATGATGGGCAGTTATGAGTTTAGAGGAATCATGCTTAACTTTGACAAATCTCATTATAAAAAATAAAAGAAAACAATGTTAACAGCCCAAGATCCAAATCACAATCGGAACAAACACTAAAAGGCGATACTCAAATATTAAATTCCTTCTGAACTCCAAGAGAAGTTGCCGTCTTGTACAAGACAGAGTATGTATTTGTGATGATTCGCAATGGTTTTCTGCTTGTTTATTAAGAGTGGGAACATATGTTTTCTGGTTAATATTCTTATCTGTTTCGAATTAATTTGTGGGTACATGCATATATCAATAATATGGTCAACACCAGGCACTAGCTAATATGATATATTTTTCTTCTGGTTCTGGTTTTTGTTTTGGCTCGAGGGTGATGGGGCTGTTTCTGGTGTTTTTTAGTGCTTTGTTGTTCCTAGCCTTGCGGGCTTGGGTCCGGCCTCTGGGCGTCTGGGCTTGGGTCTTTTTTCTTTGGTCTTGGTTTCCAGTGTGATTGTGTCAGTGCTCGGTAGCACCCCTATAGCTAGTATACTTCTTTTATGCTCTAGCTCTTTCTTATTTCTTAATAAATCTTACCTTTTTTTTTTCAAAAGAAAATAAAGCTATGGCTTCAGCATTCAAATGACATCTGTACGTTTGCCAAATTCAAACTCAATTCTGATCGGTTGAATTGGAATCTGAATACGATTCATCCCAATCTGATCAGATATGATATGATCTGATCTGGTACAACAATAAGTATATATATCCTTATATAGATTAAATTAATATGCATCTATCAGTAAAGTTGGCTTTAGTGTTGCGTGCTTAATTACCAAAGAATCAAAGGTTTCAACTTTCAGAATTCAAATCATTTTTACACATCAGATGCAACACCCAATAAAGTATAATATCATCGAATTCCATTAATTCCACCATCAGTTTGCATCTCTCTCTATCTCTCAATTCTCTCAATGCTTAATGAATTCTCCAACCCAACTTGCACTCTACAAGTTTTGGCCTTCCCTTGATTCCCTCTAAGATAACTCCATAAACGCTTCCAATTGTCAAGAGGTTTAATTAATATATATATATATATATATATATATATATATATACTTCCTTTCATACTGAGGGGATATGGACAAGCCAGCCCTTGCACCTTGGAGATCTCATGCATGCGTCATTACTGGATGTAGGGGTGTCAATGGTATCTGAAAAACCGATTTCGAATTCAAGATAAGATGTAATCAAATCAAATTCGGATGATTCGAATAGCATAAATGGTCGAATTCGAATATTCATTTCCTACCGATTAATTAATCGAATCGAATTTGAATTTAGGTTGATTCGATTCGATAAATATTCAAATTCGATTATATTATAAATATAAATATAATATTATATAATATATTTTTATCATCCCCTTTTAATGCTTTCTAATTTCACATATCCCTTACAAGATACAGGGTTTTTATAGTTCACGTACTATTCATCTTCGATTTACCAATAGCCTACTGACATATCTCTTACAAAACACGCGATTATCTTCTAAGTGATAAGACCACTCAGTTTACTTTTTCATTTGCCAATAGCGTATTGCTCATCTCATCTCCCTCATCTCTGCTATTCCATCTCACTTGCCTCGCTTCTCCCCCATTCGCCATTCCCCTCCGTCTCTCCATGGTATGAAGGTGGTCGACATCCAAACTCTAGTAGCTGGAGGCATTGTTGCAGAAAAATCAGCCGAATGTTTGGGGTTTTCAAGTTCTCTGCATCTTTCTAATGTTTTTTTCCTTTGTTTCTCTTTTGATGAACGATCCCTCTTTCTACCTCTCTTGCTCTCTCTTTATTCTCCCTCTGTTCTTTCTCTCTTTCTCTCTCTGCGGTAAAGGGATTTGTTATTGTGACTAGAGACTTAGCTTCTTGCTTTAGATTTTTTAAGTGTTTTGTTTTCTTTTTTTCTTTCATTTGTTGTTCTTCACTTTGCTTAGTTTTTTAGGTGTTTTGTTTTCTGTCTTTTTTCGTTTGCTTGAGTTGTTTGTTCGTTTATGGTGAACAGAGGCTCATTGTTACACTTCAAGACTTGGAGTTTTTATGTTGATTCGAATAACCAATCGAATTCGAATATTCGATTAACCAGTCGAATTCGAATTTAGTTATTAACTCTTCACATCCGCTGAATATTTAATCGAATTTGAATCATCACTTTTACAATTGAATTCAAATTCACTCTGTTTACATGCCTAACTGGATGGGCTTCCACTGTATTCGCCAAGTTCTGTTAATTTAAGGCCCATTACATAAATGGACTATGTAGATGTCTGGATTAAGCCCAACAAGTAAGACGTTTTACTGTAGATAGAAGGCTAACAAATATCCGATTGTTCACTATGATATGAGAAGAAAAACTTCTGACCAGTCAACTAGTGGTAGCCAATTAGGTGTTATTTATCAAAATTCATGGGTGAGTTTTAATTTATTTGTCAAGACCCATGAAATGCACCCTTTAGTGAAAATCTATGATGTAGGAAAGACATGGTATCAGAAGAGTTTTGACCAATCAAAACCCACCCATGGATTTTGATAAATAACACCTGATTGGCTACCACGTTTATGAAAAAAAACAAGTTGACAAATTCCTTGCTTTTATGACAATGGAAAGTAATGTCTCTACTTTTGTTTTTATTCTTTCTATGTTGTAGTGTTGTTGGTGTTTCTTTAGATTAAGTTCTTGTGTCGTCTTCCATGTAGTAGATTTGTTTTGGTAGTTTTTTCTAGGCCCTGTGTTTGTGGCTCTTTATTGTAACAGGAGTGTTCAATGGCTACGGGATTTCTATTGGAGGTTTTGACCTTAGTTTCATGAAGGTTCTTGTCTCTATGACGCTATTTGCAAAGGCCTTGCAAGATGACAAGTCTTTGTTTGTCTTGGTTGTTTCATCTAGTAGATTCTTGTGTACATTTCTCTCTTGTGTCTTTACCATCCATTTCCAGGTAGTGTTGGGCAATTAAAAGCAAGCTACCAGTTTGGTAGATCAAAGATCTTTTGATATCATAGCCTTCTGGCATGACATAAATTGCCTACCCATTTTCTCTTGGTGCTTTTCTTAATTAAAATGAAATTAATTGTTTTAAAGTTTAAATTTTAATATAAACTTACCAATAAAAGAGGGTTTATTATGTACAGTAGTACACATGGCAATGCTTTTTGAGAATAATTTTTTTCTTTGAATATAAGGGGAGAAAACACAAGGAGTCCTTTTGAACTCCAATTAATTTTATGTGAAAGATTTGCTGGTTACTTGGGAAGTTTTCCCAAACTTCTATGGACTCATCCCCACCCTCTCCTTCCTCCCTTCTCCCTTCATATTTTCTCTCTTTCTCTCTCTTTCCTTTGTCCCTTTTCTCTCCCTAGTCCACTCCTTAGTGCCACATCAATTACCTTCTTCTTTCCTCTTATTTTTAGGGTAAATTTCATATTAGTACCATGTACTTTGGGTGTAGTTCAATTTTAGTATCTGAACTTTAAAACGTGCTACTTTACTTATAATATGCAACTATATGTGTGATTTGAAACATTTGAAAATCCTAGAATTACCCACCACATAAATTTAAGAGATTGCCTTCTCCTTTGGAAGTCTATCTTCTTCCTCATGACTAAATTAGATTAACAATCAAAAGTCTCCAACAACATCTACTCCCCCCTCTTCTGTGCAAAAAAGCCCCTTACTACAACTAGTTTGCATTTTGCAAGGGTTCTCTGTAAAGGTTTTTAACATTTTGGTTTGCTCCAATTTTCAAAATGGTGAAGACGATGAGGTTCCAATGATGGCGAAGATAAGAGCTAAGATTCCACTAGTGCTTTTTGTTGGTGATTTTTTGGATAGGCCAACAAGTTTCCAATTAGAAGCATTGAAATCTTTTCTACATTTCTCTAGCTTAAATTCCAAGTAGTACAATGTCGTTGTAGGTTATATGTTTTGGATAAGTTTTGTCTAGTGTTTGAGGGTAATTTTCATTATAGAAAATTGTTTCATCTATTTAAGGGCTTTTTGTGTGACTTCAATT